TAAACTAACCGGAGTTTTCACCAGGGGTGATGGCCACCTACAAATGGGCTGCAGTTTGATTAAGTGATAATGCTGCAGCTGGGAAACCATCCGCCTCTACAAAAGATCCAGGCAAGTGGCCGGTCCTGTTAGATGAGAGGGCAAACCACAGGCAAGCAACGGTCTGGGAAGGAGATGCAAGGGAGAGGAGAGACAGTCCCAGGCAAAGAGGTTTGTAAACAGAGAACAACTGACCACCACCCAACATCAACAGTGAAGCTCCTTCTGGATAACCTCCGTTCTCAATGGCCAGAAGCCATTTTCAATACTTCCATTATCAGTATCGGTTAACCCCGTTTTATTTCCAACTTGTGAATTCGTTAATTCACAATGATTTGTGTATCAGGTACTTGCTAGTCTGTGGACTAGACTCTGGGAATACAATGTTGAATGGAATCTAGATTAGTGGAGTGACTGACGATAGGCAAACAAGCATCGCAAACTCATTAAATGTTATAAAGGAAAGATAATGGAGTGGGCTTCACAATACATTCCATTTTCCCATAAACTTCTTGGAGCCCCCTTTTATAGGTTGGTCTTGAGGTTAGTTTCCTGAGCAGGGCTGAGAATTCAGACGTCTGACAACCTCACTTAAGTTCCCAGCAAAAATCCCCGAGTCCTATTAAAATGTAGGGAGAAATAGAAGAAGCCTATTGGTAGTGCATTAGGTAAATCTGCTGGCCTCTTTAGAGGATTGAAAACAAGGACCTTACATTGAAGACTAAGACGCGCCTGACCCAAGCCATGGTATTTGCAATTGCCCCGTATGCATATGAGAGTTGGACCTTGAATAAGGAAGACCGAAGACGATTCAATGCATTTGAATTGTGCTGCTGGAGAAGATTATTGGAAGTACCATGGACTGCTAAAAGGACAAACTGATCTGTCTTGGAAGAAGTACAGCCAGAATGCTCCTTAGATGCAAGGATGGAAGCACTCCATCTTACACACTTTGGACAGGTTGTCAGGAGAGACCAGTCCCTGGAGAAGGACATCATGCCTGGTAAAGTGGAGGGGCATGAGAAAGAGGAAGGCCCCCAGTGAGATGGACTGATGCAATGGCTGCAACAATGGGCTCAAACCCAAGAACAACTGTGAAGATGGTGCGGGACTAGGCCGTGTTTCCTTCTGTTGTCAGTAGGGCCCCTGTGGGTTGGCCAGAACCGACTCTATGGCACCTGACCAGGGCAGCTGGCAATGGCTAGTGTAACTCCTCCACTATCTGGGTTTGACAGCAGGGACAAACTCCAGTTTGAATAAGTAACGGGAGACCTTTTGAAAGGCACGGATTCCAAGTCATTGTTTCAGATCTATGTCCAGAGGACATCATTTCACTTCTACTTTTAATCCATGTCCTGGCAAACACCTTCTGGAAATCCCTGCTGTCTTCATCTCTGAACTCTACCCAAGGCTCCCCTTATACTTTTGAGGCCCCACTGCAGCAGAAACATAACAATGCAGTCTACCAACGTAAGCAGATTCCTGGATCCATGTTTTGTTTGTTTTTTTCCCTTCCTTTTTTTGGAGAAATGTCCTTAGGAAACCCCCAAACAACCAGCCCCATTGCTATTAAATAGATTCCTACTCAGGGCAGCCCCCTGTTAGAGTAGAACTGAGAGCCATTGGGTTTTCTTGGCCACAATCTCTACGGAAACAGATTGCCAGGCCTTTCTTCCCCCATGCTGCTAGAAGGGTTGGAACCACCGCCCTGAAGTTAGTACACCTGAGCACAAACAGTACCACCCAGGGTCCTTGTTCTTCGGAAAACATTAAGGAACATCATCCGGAGAGGAAGGGATTGAAAAGATGCTCTCATTCTAGGGTTTTTATTTAAGTGAAGAACGGGGTTGAGTCTTCAAAGCCTATAAAGCTGCCAGTTGGTAGCTGAGCTAGACCTGGAACACACACCTGCCTCGTCCCCACTGCTCTTCCCTGGCGCCCATCCCTCATTTTCTGCGCCCCCTAATCTAACGAGAATGACTAAGGGAGCTGCCTTCAGGCCGGCTCTCTGTGAACATGCGATCTCTGCTGTCCACAGAGGACAATTATACTAGGCTACTTCAGCACTCTTTAATAAACTGCCCAGACACTTCCGGCATGCTAAACAATACCCTCATGACTTAGAGATGGTGAGAAATCACTTCTCTGAATTGGATCGTCAAAGCTGGGTTTACTCATTACATCAACAGGTCTCCTTTTCATCCACTGAATTTTATAGGAAGGTTTTATACCAGATAAGCAAACAAGTTTATTGGCCAGCTGGGTTTTTGCTAACATAGCATCCCCTCAAAACTCACTGCCATCGAGTTGATTCTAACTCATAGCAGCCCTCTAAGGCAGGGTAAAACTGCCCCTATGTGTTTCCAAGACTAACTCTTTAGGGAGTCGAAAGCCTCATTTTTCTCCCAAGGAGCGGCTAGGGGGTTCAAACTGCTGAGCTTGTGGTTTATCACAAATGTAAGCTAGACCTTTATCTTCCCAACGCCACCTGGGCTTGTCGATATAACATAAGAGAAGATAAATACTTTTCTTCTATATAATCAGACACATAAAAACAATGTTAATTGCAATGGAAACTGAACCCGGGACCACTCTGGTATCCGAATTAATTTCTCAATGCTAGTCATTAAATCACTTTATTTAGTCACTAAAACAAAAGTGTCTTTCCAAAAATTTGTGGGAAATGTGATGCAAAGATAATGAGTTTCCATGAACTCTTTGAAACCTCCTCCTGTATGGCGTTTCTTTAAAATTATGTATTTCAGCCACTCTCACCCCACACACAAACAACCTTCATTAATATTTTAGAAGCAAACCAACAGTTTAGACCATACTGGCTTTTCAGTATAATTTCAAAAATTATCATTAAATTACTGAGTCAAACTGGTTAGGTACATTCTCTGAGTGCTATTAGCTATGAATCTCCAGAGTCAACGGCACTTCATTCAATGAAATAAAAACCAAGATAAGAAAAATATTCCAATTCTAATTCATAAAATGTCTCCATTTCTTGGGTGAATAAAATGGATTTGATGGTGGCAATTAATCCAATCACAGAAAAGCATAGGTAAATATCATCTAGTAGTCACTTTGAAGATCCCAGTGCTGGAAGTATAAAATAGCATAAAGGTACTATATGGTCATGACAACGATTTACATGAAGTATTGGTCCTGCATTATTCGGCAACTTAAAAACAACAGGTTCGTGTCATCAAAATGGGTGTAGCTACTAGGCCAGGATTACAAAATGGTGACAAGGGTACACAAAGAAAAGCTCAATCGGCTGTGAGATTTTATCTGGGTACACATACACACACACACACACACTGTTCACACTGCTAGGGACTCCTTACATATATAGAATATATAACACACAGCTACAGTGTTACAGTGTGCGTGTGTGTGTGTGTGTGTGTGTGTGTGTGTGTGTGTGTGTGTAAGAGAGAGAGAGCGAGAGAGAGCCCCTTCCTCCTCAAGTGGTGTAATGGGTTAAGTTTGGGCCCTTTCTGACACATCTTGGAAGAAAAGTCTGTTGATAAAAAAAAAATCCGTCCAAAAACCCCTTCTGGAGTACAGTTCTACTCTGACACACGTGGGGTTGCCGTGAATCAACACTGGTGTGGTGTGTGTGATTTTCTCAACTGCAAGTTATCACAATGCAATGCAAAGTAGAGGCTTTCACAAATCAGCTTTAATTAACTTAAGTACAGCACAAACTAGTCTGACTAATGTAGGCAGCGAAAAGCATCTTTAAGTATGTAATCACTGGAAGATTTTGCAAAGCCTTTCCAGAAGCACTGAGAATTCAATGTACCAGCTTCCTTCAGAACTGCTATGAAGCACCTCCCTCACCCTTCACAGCTCCACAGCAAGGCATAACAGATGTCAGATTCAAAGAAAGTGCTTCCCAAAATCTCTTGACTCGTATTTGGGTAAACAGAAACAACATGTGTAAAACGCTTAGTAGATAAGGGTTCACTCCTCAAAACTCAGAAATGTCGCTCACATTTTTCCTGTGCCTGGCAAATTGCTCGGGATTATGAAAAACGTTAGCACTTGGACCCAAACTTTGCCAACTTTAAAAGTGGTCATTTTCCTTTCTTTGACACGCCCCGGATTATGGGCGTCCAAGACTATGAAGGCGCTTAAACTTCTGAAACAAATACTAACCCGTCCGCTTCCTAGTTTGGCTCATCTTGGAAAAAAGTTATGGCAATCAAAACAAGGCAGACAGAAAAACCGTTGGAAAAGAGGAAACTACACGGGAAGAGAGATGGCGGCTTTTCAGAAGGTAAAGAGAGGGCGCCAACCACCTCAAGTTGGCAATCTGGGGGTAATATAGGCATGGGTCGGCATACAGGTCCACTAGTCTTAAAAGTCCTTTTATTAAGTTTTCAAGAAAAGTGTAAAAATTCAGCCCGCAGCCAGCCCGCGGCTCTTTGCTACACACTGTAACATGACACTATGCTGAAGAAGTTAACCAAGTCTGAGTAACCAAAGAGGAACCGTTTCCTGCCCACAGTACAGTCTGCGAATGACCTACAGTAACACGGCCGAGGCAGAGGTTACTATCAGGCATTTACTCATTTCACCAGATTTCCCTGCAATCAGGAAGTCTCGTGCTTTGTTTTGTTTGGGCTAGGTTGTTCTGTGCCTGTGTGTGTCTTGTGACACTGATCCCAAGTGTTTTAGAACAATGCAACCCAGCTCTTGCATTAAGTTTTGAAAATAGAAGAAAAGCCAAAAGAAAGATGAATTGGAAAATGTTCCCCCAAACCAACTATGTTTGGTGAGCTCCAAGAGAGGGCTGCCCCACAGAAAGCCGGTACATTGTGAATCATGTTTGCATGTGAACATCCACAGGAGGGTGTAACCTTGTTCTCTAAATGGAACCAGGCATTTGTTAGCATCACTATCGACCTCTCCAGCATTGCCTCCGCGGCAGTGGGGGTCTGGGTTACCTCGTCTGCTCCTGTAAGATGAGATGAGGCTCCACAAAGAATTTGACCCGTAGTTTAAGCCGGTAAGGGGCTAACCCATCCATCTGCTGGGAGATCCGGTTTCTCAGATTCAGCCATAAGCTTTCACCTTTGCTACCCGTAAACTGCAGTCCAAAATAGTCAACTTCAATGATTCCCAGTCGCCTGCACACCTGGAACATAGATGAATGCAGCACGGATCAGCAAATGGTACCTGTAGCCAAAGCCGCCCCAGGACTCCTGTGCACTTTCCCCGGTGGTAGCATCTGGGTTGTAAAGCTGCAAACTGGCGCAGCCTGATGGTTTTCTGAGGATTGACTAAACCAGTAGCTGTAGTCTGGCAGCTTGTCCTTCCTCCCTCTAGTGCTTAGTGCATGGCCAGTGGCACCTTCTGCAAAAGGAGCCCTGGGAGTAGTCTAACAGAGCCGGAGGAGGGTGCTCGAACAGGCAGGTCCTCTCTCATCCCAGCCACTGGCATTCATTCTATCCACCTCCACAGTCTGCACTGGGGGTTCCGCAGTTTATTATCTGGACAATTTTAACCGTCTGGTCGCCAAAACCGCAAACACATTGAGCAAACTATGCCACAAGTGTCGGATAAGCTTCAACAAGAGGTTTTCCAAACATCTCAGGCCCAGGGGGTGGGGGAGCACAGCGTTTCATTTGGGATCCAATTTGCAGTCTGCCCTGCCAACGAGGCACTGTTGTTCCCCAGAAAACGCGAGTTTACAAGATGATCAAGAGAGTAAGATCATCAAAACCAACAAGCCTCCCTGCCCTGCCAAGCCCGAGCTGCAGGTGAACAGTGCTTTTGAGTGCAAGCAGCTTAAGGCAAGGGCTCAAGCTGGTCGGCCCAGCAACCCCTGGGGCCCGGGACCACCTCGAGCCACCCCATCCAGAAGCGCAGGGGGCGACGCCAGGCCCCGGAAGGACCCCAGAGGACACGACAGGCTGCATCGCACACACACCTGCGGCAGGTGTGTCCGGCTGCCACCTTCCGGAGACGTCCTGGGCTGGAAACAGTTAGACAGCCCCCCAGATCCCCGGCTGTGTCTGCGTGCCTGGAGTCTTGGGTCCCCGAACGCGCGTCCTCGGCGCCCCCACACCCAGCACGCCCAGAACCCACGGAGAGGGGGCGGCTGAGCGCCTGGGGCGCACTCTCCCAGGCCCCTGCTGCTGCTCCCGGCGTGAGGAGCCGCCGTGAGGGCCCTGGGCCTCGGAGGTCCGACTTGGCACCGGAGCCCCCCCGCTTGGTCCCCGGTTACCTGGTTGAGGCAGTCCTCGCCATTGGCTTTGGTCTCCACCTCCACCTCCATCAACACCGCGTCCGGCCTCGTCACATAGCACAGCATGGCTGGGGCCGCCGCTGCTGCCACTGCCGCCTCTTCTTTGGTGTGCACGGCGCTGCCCCCTCGCCACGACTCAGAATCCGCTCGGGGCCCCGCAAAAGCCGCTCTTCGGGAGGCTGGCGCCCGGCAACCCCTTCCTTGCGCCCTGCAGCCGCCTCTCCCTCCCCGACCCCCGCCCGCCCGGCCGCCCGCCCGCCGTTCCAGCCGGAACTCCGCGGCAGCGCCGCACTCCAGCAGCCCAACTGCCGGCGCCGCGACAAGGACTCCTCTGATATAGCGGCCCCGCCCCCTCCGGCGGCGGCTCCCGCCAATCACGGAGGCCGCTCCACTCCTCCGGCGCCCCGCTAGCCAATAACGGGACCCGCTCGGCCGCGGCCGCAGACGCCCAGCGCCGGCGGAGTTCACCAGGCCGGCCCGGGAGGTGGCAGCTGGCGGGCGCGGAGCGCGGCGGGGAGAAGGGAAGCTCGGCGTGCACTCCCTGCCTCCGCCGCTGGGCGACGCTGCGCCGAGGACCGGACGCCTCCTGCGGGGACTCCGGTTTATGGGGAAGCTACCCTTTGGGTCTCCCCGAATTCTTGGGCAGTCTGTGGTCACTCCAATAACGCCTTTGGGGACGTGGAACGAAAAGGAGCGACTCCCAGGTGTAAGGAGACTTTTCTTTATCAGGGATTGCCCCAGTGGGCTGTTGGGAAGCAGAAACGGTGCTCCTTTTAGACTGCGTCATGGAAAGAAAATATTATCTACAAGTTTCCCCACCCCACCCCAGTTGTACAATAAGCCATGAAACTTGGTCGAGTGCTTCTATATTAACTTCTTCTCAGGCTTCTACTCACCTGTTGGACTGAATCAAAACACCTTATCGGGCACAAAAGCCTTCTCAGGTTGCCCATCCTATCTCAGGCCTCATCGTATCCATTCATTAAACATTTGTTAAACCCCTGCTGACGCCGGGCCCCATCCCTCAGACAACCATGTTATCCTCTTGTTTGTTTAAAGGAGAGTGTGGGCACTCTCCGGAGTAACCATGGCTTTGTTAGAGGCCATTGAATGAGCTTGGTCTTACAGGGCCCTTAGGTTTACAGACAACAAAAGCATTGCCTGGTCGATTCTAGGCCATCTTCACTATGATCGTCCTTTATTGCGGCCACCCGCACCAAGAACCTTCCAGTCTAGAAGGTGAATCTTCCAGAGGTCTATCAGACGACAGTCCGACAATCCTTAGTGTTTTCCTTGGCTAGTGTTTTGGTTTTTAAAGGTTGCGAAAGCCTTCTTCCTAGTCTGTAAGCTCTGCTGAAACCTGTCCAGCATAGGTATCTCTCCAGGCATTTGAAATACTGGCAGTGTCACAGCCAAGCCACCAAAGAGACAAACTGACAGACTTTGGATAACCTCAATATCAACCTACTGCCATCTAGTCTATTTCAAATCCCAGTGGCCTTTTAGAGAGTGTCCAGGTTGTAAATCTGTACAGAGCAGATTGCATCAACTTTGTCCTGCGGAGTGACTGGTGGCTTTGAACTACTGACCTAGCAGTTAGCAGTCCAACCTGAGTATTAATAATAAAGGCCTACAGCTCTAGTCTCACTTCTTGCTCCCCTTTGCCAATACTTTCTCTCCAAATTCCTTGGAGTTGTTCGGTTTCTCTATAGGCGAAGTCAGAGGATGTGGGTTTTAGCTTTGGAAGCTCCGTGTTCTCAACCGTCAACGGAGAACTGAGAGCAGGAGCAGAGAGGAAGTTCTCCAAAGCATGTGAATGCAGCAGTCTGTGTAAGGAGATCTAGAATGTCTACTCTGCCTACTGATGGTTTTTCCTGCGCCTAGCCTTCCCCCCCAGGCCCTGTGGCTTATTGCTGATGAAGTAGGCAAGATATTAGAGCAGAAGGCTACCGGGAGGGGTGCAATCACTCTTTTACTAATTCCAACTCTGAGAACATTGTAAGTAGTTTTAGTATTTAGTATTACCCAACTCTGGCTAAAATTATTGTCGTTTTAGGGTTTTTAGCATTTAGTATTAGCCAACTCTGAGTGAAACTGTCACTAGTCCAAATCCTGACACCCGATGCTGCAAGCTGACACACGCTATCACGTAACCTTGTGTCTGCTGAAAGCACTCGTGCTAGCATGACATTGAAATATCCTAGTCTCTATCCACCCCTGTAGCCTCATTCTCCTGATGCCAGTGTGCTAATCTAGGCAATGTATCTAGGTGATAGCATTTGGATCCTGTTCCCTGTGCTTCTGTGCTTCGTTGCTAGACGTTTCAGGAAAGGAGGATAAGGCCAATCTGGAGGCCAGTATCTGTTGACTTTTTGTTTGTTTATTACCAGAGCTGAGGGATCTTAAGCAAAACGGCATTTCACAGAAGAGCTGTAGGAGCTCGCTGAATCATTGCTGATGACTGCTGTCTTGAAGTCCATTCAGCCTCGTGGAGACTGCATGTGCACAGTAGAACTGCCCCATAGGGCTTTCAAGGCTGCAACAACTTCAGAAACAGATCACCAGGCCTGTCTTCCATGGCACCTATGGGTGGATTTGAGCCACCATGTCCCTTGTCACCAGGGACGTCCTAAAAAGTAGCACACAGGGTAAATATTGGGCCACCAAAACAAAAATATACAAACAGAGGTAAAACCAAATGAGCAAAAATAAAACACAAAGTCCACTTTGAAAAAAAGAACTTTAAAAAAACGTGTCCAGAAAGCACTTTAAAAAGTCCTGTATTGGGGGTTACAGACTTATGACGGAGCAATGAATGAGCAAAATGTTGGTGATCTGAACTCATCCAGTGGTTCCACAGGAGAGACCCTCGATCTGCTTCCATGAAGATTGCAACTTATATTTTAACAAACCCTTATGAAGCAGCCCTACTCTGTCATATGGGGTCACTGTGAGTTGGAATCTACTCAATGGTACCCAACGACAGCGGCAAACACAGGATACAAGACCATAATCAAGCCAGCCAGCAATCGATCTTGAGCTCGGAATTTCCCCCTGGCGTAGAGAGAAGGAGAGAGAGACTGGATAGTGAAGGAATGAGAAGGCTGAGGGTGCTGGTGACTGGATAAGAAAGCACACTATGCTCAGCAGACCTGGTGAGGGAATAAAACCCACAGTAGAATAGCTTCCTGGAGGAACTCACCATCTGGCAATGTTACTGAACATCTGGAGCCAGTTTCAAGCCCCAGCTGGGTCTAACTCCAAAATAAGAGACTCTGAACACCCTGGTTGGGGGGTGGTAGCTGGATTAGATTGTACTGTGTTTATTCTTTCTTGAATCCTTTTGCTTTCAATTCGCTATCATCTTTTAAAACTAGCATTAGCACGAACCAACGTAGTAAAAGGACCAGCTATCTGAATGTAGATCTTTAAAAAGAAAACCTTGAGTAAGTCATCGAGTTGGCTAACCCACTGGAGTCCTAGCCATTGAAACACACTTTCTTCTCTGCTGCAGATACTAAGAAGGTTCCTGGGCAGCACACATGGTTTGTGCTCAACTATAAACGGAAAGATTGGCTCAGACCCACCCAACAACACTGTGCAAGAAAGGCTGATCAATCTGTTGCCCTTGAGTTGATTCAAACCCATAGCAACCCAGGTGAACTGAGCAGAACTGCCCTACAGGATTCCCAAGGCCAGGAGGTGCTCCACTCTCTCTTCCTCCCCCTACATTTGCTCCCGTGTGCTTTGATTAAACAAGCCTTGAGGTCGATATCACTGCTTAGAGCAGCCAATGCACAGAGAGGACCACATGGCCAGCCCCAGTATG